GTACTTAACGAAGGCAGAATAAAGAGATTTTTCCATCCGAAGGGTGGATTGGTTTCTTTTTTTTCCACGTCAAAGGAGGGAGGGAAATTTAATCAAACTGGGGTTGAGATCTACGGTTGGAAGGTAAGGCCATACGAAAGATGCAATTGGTCTTTACCATTTACTGGTGGTATTTTCGTAGCGATTCATCCGGGATGTTCTTCTGTTTCCGCCACTCTTTTGGAGTATGGGGACATTTGTAGGTAATGAAATAAGAAGATATTCAAGTGTACCTGAAACGTAATATATTATGTTTTACGGGTGCATGAAGTTGCTGATCGCGCAGGGGTAAGATAATCGTCGAATTGTACGTATCACAGTTTGGACGGTGTGGGCATATTTCTTTGGGAAAAAACAATCTCACAACTAATGTACTAGAAAGAATTTTCAATAAAGTCGATGCTTCGAATTTAAAAACTCCCGTTTTCGTCTGTTTGGGTGAAAGGATCCAATAATACCATTGGTACAAATACGTAGAATATTGCTTGGACTTTTTTTCGAAAAAAGATACCGAACGAGATCAAAGTACAAAAAAAAAAAAAAAAAAAATATTTACTTACATGTACAACCACAAGATCGTAGGGTGGATCCTTGGGTGGATTTTTGACAATTTTTTGTATTCCATCCAGAGCCAGCAGCTCGCACAATTCGTTGCCAAATTTGCCGGCAATGTAATCCGTCAGTTGTCCAGATAACGATCTCGCAAAGTCCAGCGTGAAGTTGTTGATCGTCTCCTCAATGGTACCCCTCAAGTCGACCAAAACTTTGTAGTTGTCGGGTGGATTTTTCGGTGGGAAGTGGGTCACCACATCAACTTGGTGGCCGCGTTTCGCCAGTCCTTGGGCTATCGCGTCCAGCACGACATCGTGGCTTTTTCCATTGAAGGGAAATACCGCGAGGATTCGGTAGGACTCGGTTAACGAAGGGCCCGTGACTAATAGTGCCAATAATATCGCGGTGACTGCTCCGATTGTGACCATTTTGTCTTTTCGATGAGCTAAAAAATTTTTTTTACATTTCAATTGAGAAACATCGACATATTGGCAATAAAATAAAAGTCAAAGGTAAACAAGGAATACAAATGTAGGCGATCGCAGAGGCTGATCCTAAATTAATTAGGCAGCAACGTAAAAATACAACATTATAATAATCGAGTATCGTGTTCAAGTTGTAAAACGATAAATCGCTGGGGTTCCGTGTGACTAATTGTGACTGCGGATAAAATCGCTAGACTTGAATGCGATAAATGTATCGTGAGCACTTTGATACAATTAATTAATTACTTCGATGATTGATTACCGCAACCCGTCGCAACAAGTAGAATATATAGAACAAACGAATGCGCCTGCGCGTGTTTCAACAAATATTATATACATTTACAATGTATAGATATATATATACGTAGGTATTCTATCGAACCTTTTTCTTTTGTCGGAAAACAGCTGTTGGTCAAATGCAAAAGTTGAGCGCAAAAAAACACGAGTGAAATCACCAGCTTGGTACTTATTACTTATTATAAATGTGTAATACAAGAAAAACCAGGGCGTAACAGTAAACTTTTGATTCGTATAATATATACTCATAGGTGTTTGCGTGATTAATCTTGTGAATGATGAGAACGAGATTAGATTACGCGGCATCGCTGCACACGTATCGCGACGAAGCAGCAACAACAACGACGAGGTGAGAGTTTTTCCCTGATGATGATGCGTGTGTTATCTTTGAAAACTCTTAACCTAACTTTTTTTTTTTTCCAACTCTCTTATCATTTGTTTTGTCACCGACAGCATTTGCCGAAGAAGACAACATCTGCATTCCGGTCCGGAGAATCATTGGGCATCAAAGCATACGCTCGCGATTGTGACTACTGCTTCTGCACACAGTCAGCCACCGGAGAATAATAACAAATAATAGTTGTACACGTATAGACTCACCATATATTATGTGATAGATAAGTATAGCCAAGTATATAGCCAAGCTGCTGATAAGATATACCAGTACCACGAGCTTCCAACAAAGAACAACGTTTGTACTGTGTGTTCTCACTGAGCGAGAGTAGAAGCAGATGCCATCCGAGGAGAACTGCCAGCACTATTGTCGAGGTAAGTATTGCTATATGTTTAGGCGCCAAGTAGGTAGTGTGTGTGTCTACATATACGTATTTTCTTTTATCAGTTATTTTGGTGATGGTGAAATTATTTGAGTATAGCTTGTTCGTTTGACAGTTTTTGTTCTTTTCATTTTAGACTGAGTAAACACGAGAATGGAGACGACGCAGGGTGACTGGAACAATTTGTTAAGCAAGATGAATATAGAGAGCAAAGATCAAAGGGATGGGTCCCAGGATGTAAGCAGAGCCCAAGATAATAATCAGGCTGCTGGGGACAGTATGGGTGCCAACACCTGTGTAATCAGCATAATAGGCATGACTTGCATGTCCTGTGTCAATAGTATTACTGACATGCTATCCAGCAAGGATGGAGTTAAAAATGTTGTTGTTAGTTTAGAAGCCAAGGAAGGCACTGTGTGGTATGATACAAAGCTGATAAGTGCACAAGCCATAGCTGATATTGTGGAAGATATGGGTTTTGAGTCGTATGTCAAGACAGTAAATGATCAGCCTTACTCCAGTAACTCAAACTGTGTTAAAGTTCAAATTGAGGATGATAAGCCCGCGAATTGTACTGTCGTTGTACCAATTCAGCCTAGTATAGAGAGATGTTTTTTACACATTGACGGTATAACATGTAACTCTTGCGTTACCGCGATAGAGAAACATTGCAAGAAGATTGTTGGAGTTAAAAAAGTCATGATATCGTTTATTAGTGGCAGAGCAGAGATCGATTATGACAGTAATCAAATCGAGCCTAGTGACATTGCTGACAGTATTACAGATTTGGGTTTTCCAACGGTGCATGTCAATGAAAAAGGTTCACAAATTAAAGAAATCGAGTTTCTCGTGACTGGCATGTCCTGTTCTTCTTGCGTTAATAAAATTGAAAAGTCTGTAAAATTGCTTCCCGGAGTACAATCTGCCATGGTGTCTCTTGTTACACAGAGAGCGAAAATTAATTTTGATCCCAGTAGAATTAGCATCAATGACATGATTGATTGTATAAAAAAGTTAGGTTTTGGAGCATCTGTCAAAAAAAACGAAGCCGAAAACTGGTCCTACCTGAACCACAAGTTGGAAATACGAAAGTGGAGAACGTCCTTTTTGGTTTCGCTAGCTTTTGGTGCTCCAAGCATGATAGCGATGACGTACTTTATGTTTATCATGTCCTCGATGAGCGAAGAGGACATGTGCTGCGTGCTTCCTGGATTATCATTAGAAAACTTAATTTCCTTCATACTATCAACTCCAGTGCTGATCTTCGGCGGCTGGTACTTTCACGTTCAAGCGTACACGGCAATCAAACACAGAGCATCAAACATGGATGTACTTATTTCCATGACTTCTATCATAGCTTACACCTACTCCGTCATAGTACTCATCATTGCAATGATAATGGAGGAGCACACCAGTCCGAGAACATTTTTCGATACGCCTCCTATGCTTTTAGTTTTTGTAAGCCTGGGCCGCTGGCTGGAGCACATTGCCAAGGGTAAGACCTCGGAAGCTCTGTCCAAACTGATGTCGCTTCAAGCTACCGACGCAGTAATCGTTACATTGGGACCAGATAACCAAGTCCTTACCGAACGCTTGGTGAAAATTGATCTAGTACAACCGTGCGATATCCTCAAAGTGAATCAGGGCAGTAAAATTCCGGTGGACGGCGAGGTTTTCATAGGCAAATCGTCCTGCGACGAAAGTCTCATCACAGGTGAAAGTATGCCAGTGCCAAAAACGAAAGGTTCCACAGTGATCGGCGGCTCCATCAATCTCACCGCACCTCTGTATGTCAAAGCCACGCACACGGGCGAAAAGACGACACTGGCACAAATCGTGCGCCTAGTTGAGGAAGCACAAATGAGCAAAGCTCCGATTCAGCACATAGCCGACAAGATAGCCGGCATCTTCGTGCCCCTTGTAATCGGTACCTCGGTTCTCACTCTGATCGTTTGGATCGTCATCGGCTACATAGAAATCGATTATATAATGCTGATGAACGACGACCACGTGCATCACAGCGGCAGAAACAAGGACGAGGTCATATTCCAGAATGCATTTAGGTGTGCCCTGTCCGTGTTGGCAATAGCTTGTCCCTGCGCCCTGGGTCTCGCCACACCGATCGCCGTGATGGTGGGCACGGGAGTCGGCGCGATCAACGGGATTCTCATCAAGGGCTCGGACTCCCTCGAGAACGCGCACAAAATAAACTGCGTCGTTTTCGACAAAACGGGCACCATCACCAAGGGCTTCCCGTCCGTCACTAACATTAGCTTATTTACCAGTGAAGGTGCATTTAACATTGGCAAAATACTGGTGATCCTCGGCATAGCGGAACTTAATAGCGAGCATCCGATCGCCAGCGCGATCGTTCGGTACGTCAAGCAAGTCATCGAGACCGATTTGAGCGGCCTTTGCACGAATTATCAATCCGTGCCGGGTTGCGGCATGAAGTGCAAAGTGTCTCACATCACGGATACACTGACAAAGATCGCCAACTCGGAAAATTTAGCTAGTTTCGTCAAAAAATTACAGGATAGCGCGTCGGATAGATTAGAGCTGAACGAAGTTCTGATAGATTTAGCCCAAGTATTGCCTGACAATGAACAATCGTTAGCTGTCGTTGCTGGTAACGGCAGTTCGAACGACACCTACGAGGTTTGCATAGGTAACAGGGAGTGGATGAGGAGGAACGCCGTGTCGATACCCAAAGACTTGGAGAGAAATATGACCAAGGAGGAGAGCATGGGTCAGACGGTCGTGTTGGCTGCGATAGACGGCGAGTTGGTGGCTGTTGTTAGCGTAGCCGACTCGATAAAATCCGAGGCCAGTCTTGCCGTGTACACTTTGAAAAAGATGGGCTTTGAGATTATACTTTTGACGGGTGATAACAAGGTGACTGCCAATACTATCGCCAAGCAGGTCGGCATCGATCAAGTGTTTGCCGAGGTGTTGCCGTCTCACAAAGTAGAGAAGGTGCAGCAGTTGCAGAAAAAGGGCAAGATCGTGGCTATGGTGGGTGACGGTGTCAATGACAGTCCAGCCTTGGCTCAGGCGAACGTCGGTATTGCCATAGCGTCGGGCACGGACGTAGCCATAGAAGCGGCCGATATCGTTCTCATGAGGAACGACTTACTCGACGTGATTGCTTGTATTGATCTCTCGCGGAAGACAGTCAACAGGATAAGACTGAATTTTCTATTCGCCAGTTTGTACAATCTTCTGGGAATACCGCTCGCGGCTGGTGTCTTCAGTCCGCTGGGTTTGAGATTGCAGCCGTGGATGGCAACTGCGGCAATGGCACTTAGTTCGGTGTCGATAGTCAGTAGCTCTCTGCTACTGAAATTGTACAGGAAACCCACGAGAGAGAAGCTGGAGAATTTGGAGTACAAGCAGTTTGCCAGGTTTTCCAAGAAAAATGCTCATATTGATCCACACAAGGCATCGATCAATGGCTCGATTTCGAGCCTGTCGAGAATGATGTACAACAATGTTGAGTCACGCTGACTGATATAAAACATAAGTATTCAAGAGAGTACTTTTTTGACTTCTATGCATAAGAGATGATATTCATGTGTAATAATTGTATGAAAATTGTGAAAACGTTTGTAAAAAAAAAAAAAAAAAATTTTTTTTGAGAAACTGACAAATTAAATGACTGTTAAAGTGGACCTGCCAATGTTTGTTGAGAATTATAAACAGATATATATTTACACGTGTGTATTGTAAGCTGATAAAAATGTAATTGTTAAATATTTTTTTAAGAACAATTTATCTACTGTGTAACTTACAAAAAGTTGGCTGATGAAAATATTTTTTCAATACAAAAGCATTTTAATAACTTAGTATTAAGGTGATAATATGGCTGTATGTTCTTCATAATATTATATAGTTTTATATACTTTATAGTTTCAAACATTTGATATTATATTATGTTAAGTTAATCAAAGAAAACGGAGATTTTTCGTGAACAACAATACAGTACATTATGCCCCCCCCCTTGTATTTTGTTATGTATTACATTAATTATACTGTTTTGCTATTAAATGGAGTGCAATGAGATCTTATTTTTTATTTCCATCCTTTCCTTTCAAGTTTGCTAGTTCAGCTACGCTTGAAAAAATGCATTTATATTTAATTTAAAATTTTTTCATCATAAAATCAAAAATTCATGCAGCCCTATTTTATATTTTTATGAGCAATATCATGGAAATTGGAAAACCTTCAAGATTCAAAAATTTTCGTGCGTCATCAGCGCGTGCGCGCTTGTGGAGGAGTTCAGGAGTAGGGGAGAGACTCTCCCAGAGAGTCGACAAAATAACATGTGGGTTTTTATGTTGATCCACAACAAGAGAAAGACAGTTGTAAAGTTGTGTTTTGATTATCATTTTCATAATGAACGAAGATTTTTTTACTCTTGATACAAAAGCAGTACAAAATAATAGTGAAAGTGAAGTCGAAGAGGATGATGACGACGATGACGACGATGATGGGGATGAATTCGGTAAGGAACGATGAACTTTCAATTTTGTGATCAGTGTAGGTTATGATACCATTAACTTTTTTTTAGAAAGTTGCTGATTTAAAAGGCAAATTGATTAAGCTTAGAAAATATTTGTCTTATGCCATAAACCTTTTCTTTTTTTTTTTTTTAGATATAAATCCATTAAGAATCAAGATAAGGAAGGAAGAGGTCAGTGTTAAAGAAGACAAGGATGACATAAATCTTGAAAAATTCGAGCGTGACATGGGTTGGACTGGTAAAAAACGAAGGAAACAGAATTTGGCTGATTCTGTAACAGATATTATAGAGAATTCAGCCCCGCTTAAAGAAATCCTCAAAAAGTCTGTCGTAAGAGATGGTTTTGAACGTCTCCGGAGAGTGCCACAGTACAATGCCAGTGAAAAAAAGTTAAAAGTCATAAGGAAGAGACAACGAGAAAAGACTAAGGGCAGCCAGTGGTACAATCTTCCAGCCACAGAAATAACGGATGAGGTCAGGCACGACCTCGAAATCCTACAGATGAGATCAGCACTTGATCCAAAACACTTCTACAAGAAGAACGATATGAAGGTCTTACCAAAATACTTCCATATTGGTAAAGTTCTTGATAATCCGCTAGATTTCTATGGCGATAGAATGACCAAGAAGGAGAGAAAGCGTACCATTGTGGATGAGCTCATGGCTGATGCTGAGTATGCTAAATTTAGTAAAAGAAAGTACGAAGAGATTATTAAAAGCAAGGATTGGAGGAAAAAAAAGCGTGAGTCTCGGCATCAAAATAAAAGTAAAACTTGATTCTAATCAACTGTTTCAAAAATTTTTTAATGTTTATTATGACTTTCGAGGAAATAAATTTATAAATACTTATTAAAATTTTCTATGTAGTGGTTGATTATTCAATACACAATTATACATAGCATACCCAACAAAATTTTAATAGTCGTAAGGGTTAAACAAACAACTACTAATAGCTAAGCCAAATTTTTTTCTCATCTACAGCTGCTATTTTAGTGTATAGTGTAAAACTTTATCGAGTATGGTTGTCTACACCAGTGATACAATTTTCTGTAGTTCGAGATTTTATTTTTACATAAAAATCTGCAAAATCAATCAATTAAAACTCAAATGAGATCTGGATTACTCTTAAAAAGTCTTAATATAAAATAATTCCAATTACTAAAAAGTATCAAAGGTACGTGAAATAAAACTCCAGACTCTACACGGCTTTTCGTGAAAACCATTTGAACTGTTAAATAAATTTTATTTATTTAAAATATAAACAAATTTTCCTCACATACATATATACACATTGTGAAAAATCCTGTCCATAACGTAATCTTTTTTTTTTCACCAAACGGTAAAAAATGATCCTTTTCCACGTCAGGTGTTACTAAAATTTGAAAAACACCTTGTGAAATTACGCATGTAAACATCCAAAAAGATAAGAAAAAAAGAACCTACTTTTTAGTTAATTCATCAGTTTATTCCCCCGTTGATATCAATGGAAGCACCGTTTATGTAAGAACTTTTATCCGAGGCCAAAAATGCAATGACTTCTGCAGCCTCGATAGGCTGGCCGGTTCGCTTCATAGGAATCCTCCTGATGAACTTTTCTTTCAGCTTTTCCGGGATGAATGCCGTCATGGGGGTTTCGATGTATCCAGGAAGGACCGTGTTGACCCTTACTCCAAACCTTGAAAGGCAAAAGTAAAAATATGAAAACAAATCAACTCTTGTGTAAATACTGGTTATCGGTGGACTTGAAAACTCTCTCTCACTGTGCAAACTCTTTGGCTGCGCATTTGCTCAGAGCTTCGATGCCCGCTTTGGAAGCCGAGTAGTGGGACTGGCCCATGTTCCCGACCTTGCCGAAGTACGAACCCAAATTGATGATCGAAGCCCCCTCGGCGACCCCGGCGTCAATCATTTCTCTGACCGCGTGCTGCGTCACGAGGAAGGTTCCCTTGAGATTCACGCGAATCACCATGTCAAAGTCCTCCTCGGTGGTTTTCAAAATGAAATTGTCTATCGCCACACCCGCCGAGTTCACGACGACCGTTGGTGCTGCCTGGAAATGCCTTTTCGCCGTGTTGAATGCGTCCACGACGCTTTTCGAATTTCCCACGTCCATCTCCACCGACACGTGCTCCGATCCTGCGTGATGGGAAAATTAGGATTTTATAAGACATCTTGTGGAACCCACGATTCGATTTATTTACAAATTTCATCGTCCGTTTCTTTTTTCTCTCTTTCAGATGTACCCAAGGTGTACACATACAACGCGATTTATTGCATGTTTCGCTATTCACTTCTTTTGGAAAATGTTTTCGTCTGGAAACGTACTTATACAAACTCAATAACGATTTTTTTTCTCTTCCCACTGATGGATCATGATAAAGATGTATCGCAAGGGGCATGAAATTATAACAATAAAAAAAAAAAAAATCTTCTCGAGGAGGAATAGTAACGTGCAAATGAGAGTAATATCGTTACAAGCATTTATGCCATAGAACCGATTCTACACGTCGAAATTTCCCCAGCGCTTCAGACGGCCCGACGATACATATCTGTGCTAGTTGATGATGAAAAAAAAAAATTAAAAATTAGTAAAGAATCAAAACATACCATACATATATTGCGGCTTCGCGAGCATAAGGCATTAATATAGGTACATGTACATGATGTAAGTACATTTATGTATTATATTATGTGACTTATCAACTGCCATATAATACGCGTGTAATGATTTATGTATATATATAATTATATGTACATGGGTATGTACGGATGCACCAGAGGGATGTGTATAAGAGTTACCTTGAAGCGTCGCGACCGTGTCCCCGGCGGCCTTGACATTTCGATCTGCGGCGATGACCTTGGCTCCTTGGCTCGCCAGCGTGTTGCAGACGGCCCTGCCGATGCCGCTGCCCGCGCCTGCGAAATACCGTCATCCCTTACTATATGTATCTATATACATTTTGCACATGAGCTTTCACGAGGGTTACCACCACCACCAGCATCCCCTTTAATGTATGTGTGTATATATAATATGAGGTTTATACGTCAATCGTGTACCACCCCCGTTTCTCCCTCCTGTGCGTGTATTACTTATATACGTAACGGATTGCGGAGCTGCACCCCCGGCCGGCTTTTTACATCAGTACAGGCATAGGTATATAAAACAAGTAGTATATATATAGTTTATACACGTTCACGACGCTTTAAAAAGCACACGTAGCACGTGTAACGATGGAAATGAGAAATTTTTCATTATAATTTATAATTATAATATACACATACCGGCCGCAAGCCTCGCGATACACCAACGTTCCTTTTTTTGCGAATCTTTCAATATGCATGCGGATACACAGATAGAGAGTCAGTATTTTCATATTACTTGACTGCTATAATTTAATAGCGGCTACCCACGTAACATGCCATGGCTTGAACAATTTTTTTTTTCTGTATTTATTATGACCACCATTATTATTATTATTATTATAATATATATGTAGCATTAATCATAGTAGACGTATGTACTGTATACATAAAAAGTAACATGTATTTTGTGCAAGCATTAAAAAAAAAAAAAAAAAAAAAAAAAAAAAAAAAAAAAAAAAA